AGGGGGTAATAGGGACATGCGAACGTACTTTTCTTTAAATAACTACATGCGACCAAGTGCGAACTTAAGGGGGAGGGGGGTCTAGATTTCTTAAAAAGTGCGAACGTACTTTGTGAATCACCCCTTATTATTATGTTTGTTCATTATTGGGAGTGAAAGTTTTATCTTAATCTCTATAAATCCGTTCATAATGGGGATGTATTCATTATGGAGAAGTTTACCTAAGGGAGGTTATTTTAACATTATAAGTATAGGAAATCCAATGTATATTTCAAAACCGTTCATTATGAGGAGGTGTTCATCCAAGAGAAGTTTGCCCAAGAGAAGTTGCACTGTATGTGAAAATATGTGCTAACATCCAAAATATGTAATTATATGTATTTATGTAATAACAAATACTTAAAATACTTCTTATTATATGATTCGGATATATCTTTAAGCTAGAACTCGATAATCTCTTAGAGATATGCAAAATATGTAAAGACAACTCTTTGCTTATAATTCAATTTTCACGAAACCCTTTTGGATAACTCCTGATAACAATGAAATCGATGGTTAATTGCATTCATAGCACTTATATATCATGTGGTGATTACACATTGAATACAAATTATCATAATTTTGTGACTGATTTTAATTTGTATTGTCATTAATGAACACAATTTATTATTTTTACGTAATCTTCAGATTTGGATAATTTAATCCATTTATTTAAATGAGTGATCAATTGAACGAAGTTTTATTGTTAGATTTTCTAAACATTTAATTACAAAAATCTATTCAAAAATAATTATTTAGTAAAAAACAAATGAATCACAAAAACCACAATTAAGTGTTTATAAGAATTTATTTCTAAATAAACTAGTTTATGCCACCCGTCAATTCTTACTACTTTGTTATGCAATCACATTACCTTGTACCTTTACACCTATTCTGTATTATTCGTTCTCTACCTGCATACCCAACCCAATACCAACTTAACCTAACCTAAACCAAATCAACAATACATTAACCCGCGTGCTTGCAATCAACAGTTTTTTAACAATGAAAATCTCTGCGCGTTAGGGTTTTCCCGTCAAAAAATAAATTTAATTAAATTCCCAACAATCGTCTCGAGATAGTTTTAATTGTTATGCAGGGTGTTTACACACAAAACTTTTTTATATATAGTGATATACAATTCGTGAATGAAATGAGAGAGAAATTGTGGTCAAAGAAACAAAACGTCAAAACATAAACGCAAACAACAAAATGATAACAAAAATTAATTAAAAATAACTTTTGATGTATTGTTAGACCATTTGTTAAACCATTTCCCAATGATTTTCTTCTTGAGAGTACCCTGGTTGTTTCGGCCATCACTGGCGCTCACCCAAGTGACTTGCACTTGGTCCAATCTGTCCAACGCTGTATACATGGTGTGCAGGTCGACCACCCGTTTGTTGTCCACATGTGTTATCACATCAAAGCGCTGCAGATCTGCGCCGCTATATAACCAATGCATAGGAAATGACTAATTATGCCTTCAAATGATAGTATTCTAGCCATACGTTCTGTCGAAGTCTATATCCGTACCCCAGACCAGAATACCCGGGAATTGTTGAGGGATGGCCTTCTGCTCACTCTCGGCGTACTTATTGTAGTCATCGTAAGTGCTTTGGTCTAAGAGATGGATCAGCGCTCCGATCGACTTCTTATATTTCTAAAGTTAACAAATCTTTAACAATTAACTTAAAAAATTCCAATCGTTTTTCCCCTGAGCTATTTATCCATTAATATATAATTTAAAGTTAATAAATCTTCAAAATTTAACCTAACAGTTTTCAATCGTTTTATTTATCCACTAATGAATGATTCAAAGTTAATGAATCTTCAAAATTTAACCTAACAGTTTTCAATCGTTTTTCCCCTGAGCTATTTATCCACTAATGAATAATTCAAAGTTAATAAATCTTCAAAAATTTAACCTAACAGTTTTCAATCGTTTTTCCCCTGAGCTATTTATCCACTAATGAATGATTCAAAGTTAATGAATCTTCAAAATTTAACCTAACAGTTTTCAATCGTTTTTCCCCTGAGCTATTTATCCACTAATGAATAATTCAAAGTTAATAAATCTTCAAAATTTAACCTAACAGTTTTCAATCGTTTTTCCCCTGAGCTATTTATCCACTAAAATATAATATAAAGTTAATAAATCTTCAAAATTTAATCTAAAGGATTTCAATCGTTTTTCCCCTGAGCTATTTATCTACTAATATATAATATAAAGTTAATAAATCTTTAACATTTAACTTAAAAAATTTCAATCGTTTTTCCCCTGAGCTATTTATCAACTAATATATAATATAAAGTTAATAAATCTTCAAAATTTAACCTAAAGGATTTCAATCGTTTTTCCCCTGAGCTATTTATCCACTAATGAATAATTCAAAGTTAATAAATCTTCAAAATTTAACCTAACAGTTTTCAATCGTTTTTCCCCTGAGCTATTTATCCACTAATATATAATATAAAGTTAATAAATTTTCAAAATTTAACCTAAAGGATTTCAATCGTTTTTCCCCTGAGCTATTTATCCACTAATGAAAAATTCAAAGTTAATAAATCTTCAAAATTAACCTAAAGGATTTCAATCGTTTTTCCCCTGAGCTATTTATCGACTAATATATAATATAAAGTTAATAAATCTTCAAAATTTAACCTAACAGTTTTCAATCGTTTTTCCCCTGAGCTATTTATCCACTAATATATAATTAACAAATCTTTAACATTTAACTTAAAAAATTTCAATCGTTTTCCCCTGAGCTATTTATCCATTAATATATAATTTAAAGTTAATAAATCTTCAAAATTTAACCTAAAAAATTTCAACCGTTTTTCCTCTGAGCTGATCCCATGTTAAATCCCATTAGGGGAAGGGGTAGCAGAACGATCCTATAAACCACATTATTCATATCAGAATATTTATGGTTAAAAATTTTAATCATTATTTCTCTGAACTTAAAATTCACTAATGAGTCGTCACGTCATGCTTTCTTTGATTTCAGTGAAATTCAAATTCAAACTCGACTGACTCTCTAGCGTTGGAAGTTCATAGTTTATCTCTAATCACATCAAATTTTTAACCACATTTCAGATATGAATAATGTGGTTTATAGAATTGTTCGTTTGTAATGTTAAGTATATTGCATAGGAATAACATGTGTAATGCTACGTCTATGGCATAGAGATAACATAGGCAATGCTAATTCTATGGACAATGCTAGTTTATGGCAATGATTAGTCTATGAATAATGCTAAGTCTATGACATAGGGATAACATGAGCAATAATAAGTCTATGGCATAGGAATAACATGGGCAATGATAAGTATATGACATAATGATGTATTTGACATGTGTATAATGATATAATAATGACATATTTAGTGGTATATCAATGGGACAATGGGATTATAAATGACTATGCTATAATAAATAGAACTAATTGTTTTCAAAACATTTAAATTCTCAAAATAATAATAGTGAAAGTATTCTAACAATAGTATTGAAAAATTAAAAATTTTTGATGCATTTCCCGAATTGTGGTTAACGTATAGCATCGCTGTGTGATCTTTGTTTTTATTTGTTTGTTAATTAATTAATAATAGCACTAGTTCACAGCGTAACCTTATGTATACCAACAATATTGTGACCTCTCCTAGCAAATTTTTAATTACTCTTCTGATATGAATAATGTGGTCTATAGGATTGTTCGGCTACCTTTCCCCTGTCCCCCCACCCTATGGGATTTAACATGGGATTACAGCTTAAGTCTATGGCTATACTTTAACATGGGTAATGCTAATCTTATGGAGCTTTTTCCATAGACTTAACATGGGCTAATGTTATCCTATGGGCAATCTTAATTCTATGGGAGAAAATTTCCTTTGCGAAAGCGAAATATGAAGGGAAAGGGTAGTTTTTCTCCATGTTAATCCTATGGGACTAATGATAAGGGTTGGTCACTGCCAATATTCTTCTGTCTTTAGGACTTTCAGTTAAAGATCAAATAGGACTTATTCCGGCCGTTCGACGTTTCGTTGCAGTTGGGGTTGATTTACCATTCAGTCCTAAGGTTTTGGTTGTTGGATCTCTTGATTTCCCGATTGAGTGGACAACTTGAAACAAGGATCTCACAGCGATGCTATACGTTAACCACAATTGAGGTATTACTCACACACAGCGATGCTATACGTTAACCACAATTGAGGTATTACTCACACACAGCGATGCTATACGTCAACCACAATTGGGGTATTTTATTCAAAGAATAGATTAGCATTGTCTACAGATTTAATATTAATACAATAGAATTAGCATTATTTCCATAGAGTTAACATGATTTAGTCCCATAAACTCAATATTATCCAAAGAATTAGCATTAATCCCATAGACTCAACATTGTCCATACGATTAGAATTAGTCCAATAGACCTATCATTGTCCATTGACTTAGCATTACATATGTTAATCCTATGTCAAAGACTTAGCATTACCCATAAGATTAGCATTGCCATAGACTTACCATTACCCATGTTAAGGTTTAGTTATAGATTTATGCTGTAATATTATGTTAATTTCCCAGTGGAGGTCGGGGATGGGGAAGGGGGCAGAACGATTCTATAAACCACATTATTCATAGCTGAATTGTGGTTAAAAATTTTTAATTTTTGGCCATTTAAGCAAGAACTCTGACCAAACGCCTTTCATTAGTTTGAACAGTTTACGTCTTACAGTCTTTACGGCATTCTTTAATAAACCTTTTAATCCATATTTTTATTTATTATAAATATTTATAAATATAAATAATTAATATTTAAATACAATTTAATGACAAACACTTCATTTGAGAATTAATGCAAACGTATTTTTGACGCACATGAAACATATGCCCAAATATGTGCCTAAAAATAGTTTACAGTTTCAATATACGCCAAAAATTAGGGTATGAAATATGCATTTATATGTCAAATCAAATTCGGCTGAAGTGACCGTCCTGACACTAGCGTTGCCAGATATACAGGAATGACCTGTATTATTCAGGAATTAAGGAATATTGCAGAGTACAGGAAGGTGTCATTCCTGTACATTGAAAAATACATGAATGAATATTTAACAATAAACTATAAAAGCATGAAAATATTCAGATTTGTTAATAATAGTCCTGTGCCCCTACAATCTGAACTACTGATAGAAATCAAATAAATTTAAACATAATTAACTCAATTACAAAGACATTTTATAAGCACTCGGATTTTTGCAAAGTATAATTCTATGGAAATTGTATGAATTGAAAGTTTTGAAATACAATGAAATACAAGAAAATACAGGAATTTTTGGTAAAATTTGCACAATTATACAGGAAATCCAAAATACTTTTTAGCAACGCTACACTCGCACTATGCATCGCTCAATGTATGCAAGTTCTGTATTGTATACACATTTCAATGTCCTGTTTATAGCATAGGAATAATACTATTATTATGGATAATAATATTATGGTAATTTATTTTATTTCCTATTGAGTGGGAGGAGTAATGTCGAGATTCTATAAACCACATTCTTCATATAAATATATGAATTGTGGTTTTAAAAACCCCCAATTGATGGGGAATTTGTTGAAACCAGAGATAATTCTATAAATATTTAGTATTTTTGTTCAAAACGTGTGAAAACAGAGGAATTGAATGAATTGTTGAGAAAATGGAAAGAATTTCATCGAATTCTTCGATTTCTAATTCGAAAATAGTTTTAAATTCGAATCAAAGAATGAGTCGTTCGGAGGAGAGGTTTGTGGAGAGAAGTGTTTCTTTCATTTTTCACATTTTTGTTCATTGAATTGATTTAAAAATATTTTGATATTATATTGAATATTGTTTACTAAATAACAATTTAATACAAAATTACAATTTTAAGAAAGAAATATAGTTTTGAAGATATATTTTGGATAAAATGTAAAATTCTTAATTTGGTTAAAAATATTGATATAAAAAGTGGCAAAATTCTACGTTTTATTTCACATTTTGATATATTTATAAAACGCTCGAAACACTACTTCACTGCAAAACACATTTCATTTTGGAACTTCTTTTTAAAACAATAATTATTGAAATATTTGTTTTCTATTTTGCGTTCATTTCAATGCTTTTATAAACATTTGTATTTAAAAAATAATTATTAAAATGCTTAATCTATTCACACATTTTGAACCAAATATTGTTTAGTGAAAAACGAGTCAGAATTTAGGGATTTATATCTGAATTCTCTGATTGCGAACGAAAATCAATATTTGAATGGATTTGGCGTTCAATAGACGTCGCATTCGTTTCATTTGTTTGATTTCATTTGATTTTGTTTTCATTTTTTATTCGTTATTTTAATTGTTAAACATTTTGATTACAGTTTACATCAGTTTATTATTGCAATCAAAAATCTTTTCAATGAATACAATATTTTGCAATCTTTTTACGGTAGAAGAAAAACACAAAATAATACTTTAAATATAATAATTAATTGAATAGTGATTTCATGAATTAACATTTGATTTTCAATTTAAGAGACAAATAATTTGATTATTTGAAAGAAAGTTATTTCAATTGTCGTATAATTAACACTCATTTTGATTAAAATGGACCAAAATATACAATGTTTGGCATTTGTGTTCATTTTAACACATTTTGTGATAAGAATTTCCAAACAATTAATGTCTGATTATTTTGTGATAAAATTGTGTGAAAAACAAATGAATTAGTATTTTATTTATAAAAATAATTCACTTTTTTTTATTAAATTCAATCCATATTAACATGTGTTCACTATTTGTTCGCTTCTTTTATGTTTTATTGCAAATGGTTTTAAATATTGATCTATAAATTTTATCAATAGTTTGTATCAAATATTTAAAAATGTTTTAAAATCTAATTCTATGGAAATTAATGTTTATTTGTATAAAACACTGCAATAAATAAAAATTAAATGAATTGTGTCTTTGTTTTGTTAAATGCCTGAAAAGGAAATCAAATTCAAAACATTTTTATTGCAAATCATTTCATTGAATCAGATTTACTATAAATTCTTTTCATTTCATAAGTATTTCATTTAAATATTGTTTTGTTTGCAAAAAACAATTATTTGAAAACATTATTGACTTTCAAAACAGACATTCTTTTCGCGAAACACTTTTTGTAATATATTTTTAATAATATTTTGTTTATTTTGTCAAAACTTTTGTCTTATATTTATTGCAAAACTTTTTCTTGTTTTGATCTTTGAATAAGTTTTGCCAAAAAATACTTTCATTTCTTAAATTCAAAGGGATTTACAAAATTTTATATTAAAAAACTTCAGAACTTTTGATTCAATAAATATTTTGAAATTTTTCAATTCAATTTCAATTTTCAGTATTTATATTGAATTTTTAACTATTATTTTAATTTTCTTTAGTTTTAATGATTTTTATTGAAATACAATTCTTTATGCAATAATTTGTATTTAAAGTTTACATTTGATTTAAAATTCATTTTTAAATATTTTCAATAATACTGTTTTAAACTAATTTTAAAATAATTTGTAAAACAATAGATTGTTATAATTTGTTGAGATTTATAGCAATTATTGATCATTAAGAGCATTATTATTGCGTAATAACAACAATAAGTGCTGTTTTATGACATGAAAAGTGCAATTATAAGCCAAAGGAAAGTAATTGTAATCCAAAAAAGATTCTAATTTTAGTTCTTCTTTGAGATCGGATTTCAAACGTTTCTTAATTTCGGAAACTTTTGTACAAATATTGTGTTTCAATATTAAAGAAGTGAAAAGTTTGAAATTCACACAATTGTCTTGTTTTCAACATTTGTATTCTTCGCCAAAATTTGTATTCATTTTTAATTCTTTGATTTTAGAAATTATTGTCTGTATTTATATTCATAAAAGACATCGTTTGGTATTTATGGTTAAATCTATTGAAAACACACTTTAATTGTCAATTGATTTGAATTTGGGAAACAAAACAACAAAAATTGTCATTTCTTTCAAACAATATTGTCGTAAAACCCAATATAAAACTTATTTAAACTTTCATATAATTATTGAAAACTAATCTCAATTTCTCAATGAAAAGAAGACTGAATTCCTCATAGATTTGGTTTTTATGAAAATGTTGTTAAAACTCATACAAAACCATAGAATTAAAGCAAAAGTTATGAAATTTGTTCGTCAAATAAATTGATTGAATATTTGCGTAAATATTAAACCAATTTAAATGACAATAATTGTTATGAAAAGCCATTAAATAAATGAAATCTAAATGTTATTAAACATGGATTTCAATGTTCAACGCGAGAGACGGCGATAGAGAGCGCATGCGTTCGCACTTCGCATCCGAGGCTCACAATTGTGTTTCCATTCCTTTGAAAGACATTTCTCTTTGAGATTCGATTCGATATAACATTGAATTCAACCAAAAATATAGAAAACTTTTCTTTCAATTAAACAAAAATTGTGTTTCATTTCGGAGAAAAACTTTTACCAAAAATATATCTCTATTTCTGTGTTTCACTCGAAGCGCTCTCTTTCACCAAATATTGTTCAAAAGTATATTAAATGATAGACTTTTGAGATAAAGTTGAGTGAATAGAGAGAGACTGAAAGCACAGGTATATTGTGTGCGAACTGTGTGTCCATTAATCAACACTTATATCTCGAGGCTATTCTCGCCGTCTGTTTATTATTCGAATAAAAATACATTAAAAGAGTTTATTGTTCGCCGAAATACTGACCATTAGTGTCGACAATAGTGTCCAATCACTCGCTCTTCAATCCTCTTAGATATCAGC